TCTTTCCCTTAGAATCATTATCTATCTCTCACAATCTTTTTGACACCTAAATTGTACGCAATCCATCTTTTCCTTCTTCTTCTTTGTTCTTTTTTTTTCTTTTTTTTTGCTCATATTTAATCGATTCATTTTTCGAGTATATTAGATTCTGTTCATAACTGCATAGTACTTAAAATCATCAAATTAAAGATGGACGCTACAAAACGCATGGTCTGTCAAGAAGATTTCTTCAACCCTCTCACGTCCATGGGCATGCAGATGTCATGCATTCTCGTCATTTCGCACTTTTTTCACCTCGTCCTCAAGGCCTTGGGTCAACCTGGTCCCATTGCTCAAATTTTGGTAAGCCTTTATCGTGATCATTATTCCATTTTACTCAAATTCTTTTTTTTTTTATATATATATTTTGCTGAATATATATATATATATATATAGATATGCATGAAAGTAATTCTTAATTTGCCTTTGATTCATAAAACATACGCCATATCCAGCTGATATTGATTAGGTAATGATCAAGCATTATCCAAAAGATTCATATAATTTCATTTCATAAGTGTAAGAGAAACTCTATCTCATTTGGTTTCAACCGAGCTCAAACAAATTATTTTATCAAGACAAGGCAATTTTATTTAATCACAAAATTCATTTCTTTGCCCAATTCCTTCACACAATTACCACAGTTGCCAAACACCAAAAAGAGAGGAAACTTGCTATAAACCCAAAAATAATAATAATAATAATAATAAAAGTTGCCCAAAAAACTCTGCTTGAAACCTACAAATTATCAGAAAATCAAAGGAAAAATAATTGAAACTTAGCAAAAGAAAAAAAAAGAAAAACATTTCTGCAGATGGAAACTTGAAGTTCATCTCCCTTTCGCCATCCTTACTTTCTCTTCTGCTTGCACCTTTCCGTCTTAGACCATTTAGAGTTTTTTTTATAATATTTTATTTTATTTATAAAATGTAACAACAGCTCAATTGGAACAATTTGTTAAAAAGATATAACAATGCGTGATTGACGTTGTTATATTAAGATAAGAACTTATGCCTGATGAATGTTATTAACTATAAGTGTGCTACTAGATATTAACAACATGCAACTCGTGAAAAAAACAAAGATTCCTTTTGACAGTGTTTACGACGGCATGTCATTGGATACACGTTGTTAAGTCTCATTTTTCATGTGGTGCGTACATGATAGTACCATGATATCTTAATTAGATAACTAACCAATTTAAAAACTGTTCATGAATATTTTAACGTCTAGCTAACTTATATATAGCTGGAAAACTTTGTGCATCTTGTACTATAACATATATGTGTATTAGGCAGGATTGGTGCTGGGTCCATCAGGGCTATCTAATGTTAACAAAGTGAGAGATTTCTTCTTTCAAGCTTCTGCTGCCGAGTACTATGAGGTTTTCGGATTCTTTTGCCGAATGCTTTTCATGTTCTTAATTGGTCTGGAAACAGACATTTCCTACATTGTTAGAAACTTGAAAGTCGCCACCACAATTTCATATTGCGGACAAATAATTGGCACTGTTTTTGGAATAGCCGTCTCTTTTTTTCTTCACCAACAACTTATGCTCAACGACAAGAAGAAGATCGGATTCATATTTATTATTGTCTTGATTTTGACCTACACGGCTTCGCCTGTGGTCATACGTTTGGCAGGAGATTTGAAGTTCGCGACTTCGCCAACCGGGCGATTAGCAATTGCCTGCTCATTGATTAACGAGATCACTTGCTTAATGTTGTTCAATCTCATCATTGTTTTCCACAAGAAAAGCTTTTTCAGAGACGGGATTTTGACGATTTTGGTCACCGGGGTGGTAATTTTTGTGAACAAGTATGTAGCTACTTGGTTCAACAAACGTAACCGGAACCAAAAGTATCTAAGAAACGCTGAGTTGTTGTTCATTTTGTCACTCCTTATTGGAAGTTCGATGATCATAGAAATGTTCACTAGTAACAGTGTGATAAGTTGTTTTCTCATTGGGGTTATGTTTCCCAAGGAGGGCAAAACCGCAAGGACTTTGTTACACAAGCTTACTTACTCGGTTCATAACTTCATACTTCCTGTTTACTTTGGGTACTTGGGTTTCCAATTTGATGGGAGCCGGTTGAGGAACTTCAGCAGTGTCATTATTGTGGTCATTTTGGTGGTTTTGAGCATTGGAAGCAAGATCAGTGGCACTCTTTTGGCTTGCCAATACTTGAAGATTCCGCTCAATGAGGGGGTTTTTGTTGGCTTCTCTCTCAACTTGAAAGGACATGCTGATCTCTTGTTCATAGGCCAAGCCACAAACACACTAATTGTAAGCTTTGATTTTTTCTTTTTTAATTTTCCCCTTTTGTTTATTTCTACCTATATAAGACTTTACTTTACTTAATTTTACCCAGAATAGATTAATTAGTAACTAAATCAATGCATCAATAACGTTTTACAAAAGCTACCAATAAATGCATATTTCAGAATTTTCTAACTGAAAATGTCACTAGCATCTTTGTCTCATGGCAGATTCTAAATGATACATGCAGCTCAGATTAAGTAGTCTTATGCCCCGTTCATTTTATCGATTCGAGTTTTGCTACAGTAAAAAGCTCTCATAAGCAGTCACATCTAACTTTTTTATTACAGTAAAAAGCTCTCACATAAAGTCGTATATCAACTCGAATTAAAAACTCGAATCATCGAACTAAACGGGCCCTTAATATTACATTTTGTACTTGCACACAAACTAGTCTTAGTATTGCAGTTTCTACTTCTACTAAAACTGTTTCATGGTGTGCTATAGTTGCAAAAAAATTCTTCACATAAGACAATGAATGTTTGTCCACAAGTCTCAGACAGTGATGTGCAAGAAAGAATGTGAATTGTTGAGCAGATTCCAAGATTTGTCATGTGACATAGACATAATATATGGGACAATCTTTAATTTCTTATCGACATTTTTTTTATTCCCGGGTTATATATATATATATATATATATATATATATATATATTGTCTGATGATATCATCTCATGCATCAGTATATAGTTCCGGAAACGCATTTGCAATTTCCAAGTCCTATATTCCTTAACATAAGATAGTGACACATTGTTGTTAAACATGTTAGCATGCATCAATATATAGAGTTAAGAGTGAATATACCGGTTCTTAGTTTCAAGGAGTGTGATTACTGTAGACTCCATAGACACAATCCGTCTTAACAACTGTGCATGCTGTTCAATTATATGGGGTCCCACGACGAGTATCCCATGAAGAATGGTTAAAATCATGCAACCGAACATTTTAGCATTTCTACTTCTCTAGATTGTTCTTTCAACAATTTCATCCTTCTTTTGTATTGAGAATTCTATAGTTTAGGTAGCAGTTTTAAAGAGAAAATTAGGTAGCGTGCCGCAATTTTCACATGTTTTCGGATTTATAGCACAATTCATTTATAGTTGAGATTTGTGATACGTTTCGTAACTTTGTTGATGTTAGCTAGCCCCATTGTATGGCACAAATCTGAAACTTCAATGTCTATCGTATAAATCTCAAAGTGAAATCTTTCTCTGGTATCTTCAAACTTCAAAATTTCTCGCATACCAGCACTTTGTTTTGAAATTTTATATCTCTTTCAAATTTTGCTATTTCTAATTTTTTTTTTAACTTTAATCAAATTCAAAGTGCAGAAAAATGAACTGGTAACGGGTTTTGTTGTAATATGACAGGGATGGAATCCAGACGCTTACAATCTACTGTTGATCAGCATCGTGATCAACACCGTGATATCAGGCCCACTTCTGGCCCTCCTGATGCGCCGAGAGGAGAGGCTCTTCTCTCAAACCCACACCACGCTGGAGCACCAGACCGGCCCGGACAATCAGGAGATCCGAACCCTCCTCGCCTGCGTCTACGGTCCCCGCCACATGTCCGCCGTACTGGCCCTGACCTCCGCCCTCGCTGGCGGCGGCGGAGGCGGAATGACTCCCTACCTTATGCACCTTATCGAGCTAACCCAGAGCCGTCGCACCAACATCTCATACCACGAGCTGGAGGCCGACGAGCTCAGCGACGACGAAGACTACGGCGGAAACGACGTCGTCGAGATCCACGCCGCCGTCGATGCATTCCACGCTGAAACCGGAATCCTCATCCACCACAGCAAGGCCGTATCCTCGTTTGCTACGCTGTACGAGGACGTTTGCAGCGCCGCCGAGGACCTCCGCGCTTCGATTGTGCTCGCGCCTTTCCACAAGCACCAGAGGATCGACGGCAAGATGGAGAGCGGGAAGGAGGGCGTGAGGACCACCAACCAGAAGATCCTCCGCCACGCGCCGTGCTCGGTGGGGATAATTGTTGAGAGAGGGCTCGCTGGGGTTCCCGGGTTTGCTCAGCTACTGGACGCGCCGCCTTCAGGGGCGGAGCAGCAGGTGGCGACGCTGTTCTTCGGCGGGCCCGATGACCGCGAGGCGGTGGCGTGGAGCAAGAGGATTGCCGGCCATGGGAGGATTAATCTGACGGTGATTCGGTTCTTGTCGATGGAGTCGTCAAGCATGAGGAGCGAGCGCGTGGATGAGAGGGATGATGTGGAGGTGTTCATGTCCCTGGCCAGCTTGGAGACCGGCAAGGATATTGATAATGCCTTCCTCAGTGACTTCTATAACGAGTAAGTATTAATTTCCCATTGTTTACATACTTCTATTATTTATGGTTGAGGTTTATTTTTTTATTTACGATATAATGTTTGAAAAGCACTTCTTTGGTATGAAATATACTACAAATTCTATAGTGTAGGATATAGTTTTGAAATCTACAATACTTTCATATATACACGTAAGATATATAAAGAATCTAGATCTAAATTACAAATGAAAATTACAAAACTTGAAGCTGTTGAAGCCGGAGAAGCAGGTTGCCACCACCAATGTCGACAATGCGAGTGTGTGATCTATCTTCTTTCTTCTTCATCTTTATTATAAACCTCTTCGTTGTACTGTATATAATCACATTTCTATTTCTGTTATGCGGAGACGGAAGTACGAGAGGAGAGAGAGAGAGAGAGAGAGAGAGAGAGAGAGAGAGGTTACCTAGAAAGAGAGGGAGGGTGTTTGATGGTTCCAAGAGAGAGAGAGATGAGAGAAGGAGAGAATACTGAACGTCACCCTTAATAGTGTCGAGGTTATGATGACTTTTCTAAAATTTATTTGATGAACAAAAGATTTGGAGAGAAGATTTGAGTTCTGATTAGAGTTGGTGTTCGTAACATTAGTCATTGAATATAGGTCTAAATGTGGCATGGTGTTGTTCGAGTTTAGATGTAATCTCATGTCTTTGTCATAATAAGAAATGGTATAAAAATGGTATGCGGTTTGTGACGACGGATAATTAGAGAACTCTTCTTCAATTGCTAATAGAATATGCCATTTAATTATTTAAGTTGATGTCGCTTTATTGATAACATGGTTTTTCAACCTTGCATGTAGGTTTCTATCGTCTATTATTATATATATATATATATTTTTTTTTTTTTTAAATTTGAAGAATTTGACCTCTCACTTTATAGTTTAGTCAAGTGTGGAATTACTGCTAAGATATATTTGTACTTACATTTCTTTTTTTTTTTTTTCTTTTAGTAAATGATGTTTTGTATATCTTATTTGAACGATTTATTGCTCCCCTAGGTGTGTGACATCAGGGCAAGTTGGATATGTAGAGAAGTATGTGAACAACGGTGAAGAAACTGTGGCAGCTCTCAGAGATATTGGGGACATGTACTCACTCTTTGTTGTAGGAAAGGGTGGGAGAGGACACTCGCCATTGACGACGGGCATGAGTGATTGGGAGGAATGCCCGGAGCTTGGAACAGTCGGAGATCTCTTGGCTTCCTCGGAGTATAATGTCAATGGTTCAGTTTTGGTCGTCCAACAACACAGAAGTTCCAAAAAGGATCTTATTGATGATTAGTTAGGGTAGGAAATGTGTTCTTGTTTCCTTGGTTGTTGAACTAGCTTTTTCTTTTTTACGTTGTAAAACAAATGTACATTCTGAGTTTTAGATGCCTGGAATTGGTACCACCAAGGACTTCATTTATATATGAAGAATATAAGTGAACTTTACGTTAGGGGTTGACAATTTCGTGTTCACAAATTATATTCACATGATTATGACACGATACGATTAAAATAATTACAAACATGACATGATTAATAAACATGTCAGTAAAAACTCAAATACGATCAGTTTATTATACATGTAACACAGCACATCACCCTAACATATTTATTAAACGGGTCGTGATAGGTTGATAAAAAAAATACAAGTTTATAAAACATTTATAATATTCACTACAATGGCTATTGTTTATAATGCCCCTGTTTGGTTGGGCAATTTCATCTAATTCAGTCCAATTCAGTCCGGATTTTGCAGTTGGTGTTCGAGAAGAGCAATTGAATTGCTCATTCAACTTGAGCTGAACCAGTGAAATCAGAGTCATAAGCCCCAGCAATACAACATTTCAAACCAATATTGTACAGTGTAAAGCAACTCCCAATCTGACTTTTTCTTTTTTGACGGGGCCCACAGGACTTATGCCTCCTGTTGTGCATTGATGGCCGTTTACTATTAAAAATAACACCTACGAAAAATTTAATTACTATATAGATTTATTAAAAAAAAAGGGACAAAAAAAAACCTTAAAAAAAGGTAAGAAACGCTACCCATTAAAAATAACAGCTATCTGATCAAAAATAAAAAAATAAAAAAATAACAGCTACAAAAAACTTGATTATTATACAGATAATTTTTCTTAAATTAATTTTTTGGTGCTGTATTATTGCTTATGCATTCTTAATTTGCCTTTGGTTCAAACTATGTTCCTCAATTGTATCTAAACGCTAATTTAAATTATATTTTCTGTTGAATTAAAACTTTAAATATACAATCAAAAGCCCACTACAAGAATAGTCACTTTAAGAGACCAAACTTTTTATACCAAAAAATTTTAGTAGCAAAAAACACACTTTTTACTACTAAACTTTGGTAGCTGAAATTATCAAGGCATTAGTTACCAAATTTGGTTCTAAAAACAACACAATCCACTACCAAATATAATTTGGTAACAAATAACATGACAAGAAATGAAATTTGGTTACCGTTAATAGTTTTTTGCTACCAAAATAATATTTGGTAACAAAAGCATAAGATTCTGCCACCAAAATTTGGTAGCAAAATATTACTTTTTTGCTACCAAACATGCGGGAAGCAAAATTTTTTCCCCCCCAAGGTATTTGCTACTGAATTATTTTTGATAGCAAAACATATAACATTTGCTACCAAGTGTTGGAAGCAAAATATAACTATCTACCACCAAATTTTGGTAGCGAAAAATCAAGTTTTTGCTACCGAAAAACATAATTTTTTACTACCAAATTTTGGTAGTCGAAAACAAAATTTTGCTATCAAATTCATATTTTGGTTGCAAAAGATTTTTTTTTTTGCTACCAAAAGTTGTATTTGGTAGCAAATCATATAAAAACTTTAAAATTATATTTTGTGCTTGTATTGTTTTTTTTAAAAAAAAATTCATGAATATGTCCTATATTAAGTTTTAACAATCATCCTAGTATATTTTTTATAACAATTATTTGATAATTTAGTTATTTTGTATAGGTGTAACAAGAGACATGTTCATATGTATACATATGTGATCTTATTAATTAAGTATATGTTCCACATAGAGTAATATATAATCTCGCTATTTGATTGATTTTTAACTTTGAATAATGTATTTCAATTTCAAAACTACATTTTTTGTTATAATGTTATTAGAACAATGATTTTAAAATAATTTTTGTCATTCAAATGTTATTTTTTTTAATTTTTAATATACGTCTTTTTGGTACCAAATTCAAATTTGGTAGCAAAAAATGTGCTTTCAGCTACCAAAACAATGTTTGGTAACAAGAAACATAAGTTTTCTCGTACCAAATTTTGGTAGCAGAAAAAATGATTATGCTACCAAATTCATATTTTGGTGACAAAATGCGTTTTTTGCTACCAAAAGTTGTGTTTGGTAGCAAATCATATAAAAACATTAAAAGTTACATTTTGTGCATGTATTATTTTTTTTTCCATAAATATGTCCTATATTAATTAAGTTTTAACAATCATTCTAGTATATTTTGTATAACAATTATTTGATAATTTAATTATTTTGTGTAGGTGTAATAAGAGACATGTTCATGTGTATATATATGTGATCTTATTAATTAAGTATATGTTCCACATAGAGTAATATATAATCCTACTATTTGATTGCTTTTTAACATAGAATAATGTATTTCAATTTCAAAACTATATTTTTTGTTATAATGTTACAAGAACAATGAGTCTAAAATAATATTTGTCATCAAAATATGTTTTTTTAATGTCTTTTTGCTACCAAATTAAAATTTGGTAGCAAAAAATATGCTTTCGGCTACTAAAATAATGTTTGGTAACAAAAAATATAATTTTCTGATACTAAATTTTGGTAGCCAAAAATTTGATTTTGCTACCAAATTCTATTTTGGTGACAAAAAGACGGTTTTTTGCTACCAAAAGAACAAAAATATTTTTTTGGTAACAATAAAAAAATAAAACTTTTGTGGGAAAATCATTTTAACCTACCCTCCCTAAAAATTCAAAACACACCCACGCATTAGTTTCATTAAAAATCAAACTTATACCCAGCGGCTCACCTTCCCCAACGCCCTTCTTCCCCTTCTTCCCCTTCTTCAGAAACTCATCGCCATCTCCGCCATGTTCTTCAAAAATTCCTCCGCCATCTTCTTCAGAAACTCCTCCGCCTTCTTCTCCAGCCGCCGCTCCTCCTCTGCTGCCTTCCACTCCTCAAGAAATTCTCTCTAGCTCAAGATCTTTCTCTCGCTCTTTCTCTCTCTAGTCGCTAATTCTCGACATCGTAGACTCCGATTCCCATTTTCACCACCGTCGATTGTTGCTGTCGCCACTGCCGATTCTCATCGTCGCTGCCTAGTTGCCGACAAACCCGAGATCTCTCTCCTCGCCGTCAAAACCTCCTCATTTCCGGTCAGTTCTATCTCTTTCTCTTTCCCTCTCTCATTGTGGAAATGTTTTTATTTTTATTGTTGATTTTAACTTTTTTTATGGAAAACAACGAGATTTGTAGGATTGGTATCTTCTAAGCAGTTTTCTTTTTCTTTGACAGGATTTAAGCAGAGTTTTCTTTTGCCTAGCTTGAGTGACGAAAATACCAAAAATAATGTGAACATGTTGGGCTTAAGATTTGCAAACACATTAAGAGGAAACTTGATATGGAGGGATGAGTATCACCATATTGGTAATGTTGTTAAATCCAAACCTTATCAATAGAGCATTTGAAGCCAAAAAGTATTGTCTGTGTTGAATTGTGTGTGTAGGCTTCCCTCAGAACATGCGGTAAGATTCCTCAAAGCAAGTGCCACAGCTTCTGGATTTCTCCTATATATACCTAGTGCTGGAACTTTGGACGGGCCACCCATGACCGCCTGAAAAGCCCGAGTATTTGCCCGAGCCCGAACCCGACCCGCCCGAGATTTCCGGGTCGTCCGCCCGAGCCCGAATTTCACCTTGAACGGGCTGCGGGCTTGTATTCGGCGGCCCGAGCCCGCCCAAATTGCCCGAATTTTTTAAACTTTTTTTTAATATTAAGTTATTTATATATATATATATATTAGTATTACAATTTATATATATATTATATTTATATATATATTAAATTTGAAATGAACACACGAACTATATAAAAAAATTATTTCTTTATTAATTTTTAAATTTGTAATTCATGATTGCCTCGTTAAAAACCTTACCAAGAAAAACCCAATTAGGATAAAAACTTGGCAAGGAAAAAAGAGTGCAATCATTTTGTGACGAATTACAAATTGTACAAATTTACATTGTTTATTAAATTACAAATACAATGTAAAAAGTAAATACATATATACAAATTACAAACTTACAATTTAATTTGAAGCTGAGGGATCGTCTTCAAAATTAAATGTTAATCGATTAAATTCATCGATCCATTCTTGGCTTACCGGTGAAATTGTATCTTGTAGACGTTGATCGGCCCGATCCCAATCCTTAATGCAAACCAAGGCTTCAACAATATCCCTTTGCAATGCATTCCGGCGTTCCTCAAGTATTCTTCATGTCGTACTAAATGCTTGTTCGGATGAAACAGTGGAGACTGGGATCGAAAATATATCCATTGCCAATCGAGTTAGGATTGGCCAAGTTAATGCCCGTGCCTTCTACCATTGAACTAAGTCAAACGATTCTGCCATACTGCCGACTACTAAGCCTTCACTGAGGTACGCCATAAGCTCGTTGAAGCTGCTGCCACCACTGCCACTTGTTGATGAAGATCCACTTCCACTCACAGCTTCCGTTTGAGTTGTCTTCTTCTTCTTCTTCTTTAACCCGAAAACATTCAAGAATGAATGTGGGTTTTCATCCTGTTGTTGCGGTTCCTGTACTCTAGAGTTTGTGCTTCTAAACCTTATCTCATATTTACTATAGATCTCATATATTTTTACCTTTATTATTGAAAATTGGTCCGTACAAGTGATGCCTAAAAATTCACCTAAGTTTTCTAAACCACTTTCTAATCCGTCTAATTTTAATCTAGGATCAAAAATTGTACCTAAACCATATAGCAAAGGTAACTTAGACCAATATTTTTTAAATTTTTTTTTCTAAAGAATGAATAGGAACTCCTAAGATTGGGTCTTCCCTATATTCGTGAAATGAAATACTAATTCTTAAAAGTTCTCCTAAAGCTAAAGGTGATGTTGGGTAGTATGTTCCACTAAGTTTTAGAGTAACTTCATGAAACCTACCTAAAAATTGATACAAAACTTCGGCAATTTGCCAATCAAATTCATCTATATGTC